GCTGCTGCTTTTTTTCTCTCTCCCTCTCCTGCCCAAACTGCCTCCTTTTATAGCCTCTCCTGTCTCCGCCCCCCTCCTCCTTTCTCATGGGGGAGGGTGAGCCAGAAGTGAGCCTGGGGCCTTTGCAGCTCCAGAGGACTCTCTCACTGTAAGTCCTTGCCTGTGCTGGCTCTTTCCCTCCCCCACTACACTTGGCTAGTCAGGGCTGCATACCACCTGCCACTCATTAATGTACCACAAGTGGTACGCGTACCACCAATTGAAAAGCCCTGGTGTAAAGTAGTAACTATTATTTTAGGATTAGGCATGCATAATTTGAATAGATTGGTATAGGGACCCATCTGTCTCTTGCTCTTGATACAATTTTTTTAGATTAGCATTATCAGCATTGTCTGAACCAGCTGGGAAAAATGTTTCTTGCCAATTCCATCTGTCTCTAGGTAAAAATGTCAACTAAAGTACATTTTCAGTTTCAAGGGGAGGCTAATACAGAATAATCCGTGAATGTATTTTTTACTAATAACTTGCCATCTATGTCTTACTTAAAAATGCATTTGCCTTGCTTTCTGGTTCTTCTGTTGGGTCCGTATGAAAGTATTATCTACCTAGAGAAAATTTTTGCAAGAATGAAGAAAGAAAAGAATTCTTACTGTGAAAGGTTCCATTGTTTCTGGATCTTAGTAGTTTACCCAGTCATACTTGGTTGGGAGTTTCCCATTTGCAGGCTCTGGGTCCTGTCAACGCACAATAATTATCATCTGGACAGGTTGTCTTAATTTAGTGAGAAAACCCATACAGTAATTGAAGAAAACAAGTGAATGGGCAGGAGTTGGAAATAAGGAAAGCATTTTCACTTTCATAAAGGGAAGCCAAAGATGAATGAAAATTACTGTCATCCCTCCAGGGGGACAAAGATAAGCATGCTAGCCCTGCCCACTTGTTGACACCCTTCTTGTGAAAGGGTGAGTGACTTGCCAAGGTAATGATTTAGAAGCTAACCAGCTTGTATAATGTGAGATGAATGATGCAGTGTTAGGAATGACTCAGCAGGAGTCTGTATCCCTTTAAGAGCTTGAGTATAAAAGGGAAGGCCTTGCTGGAGTCTTTCTCTCTTGTCCGTTTCCTACTGTAATTGCTGTGTATTGGAGTTTGCTGAATTATCACCACGTGTATGTATTTTGTTTCTAGTATATTGTAGATAGTGTGTAATATAGACCACATTTAATACAAACCACTGTTTACTGTATTTACTCCTGGGTTATCTCAGCACAATAAGACTGTGCATGCTCTGGCAGGTTATGGGCCCAGAGTGAAGAGAAACCCAGTGAGAGCTTGAACTAGAGCCAGAGGAGTTGAGGCTTGTGGTTTGTGGTGGTTTAAAGCAGGCAACATGGCTTCCATCAGCATAATGGGAGGAGGTTTTGCAGTATCTCGGCTGAATGATACAAACTGCCTCTCCTGGAGTCTGAAAATGGAGATGTACCTGCGAAGGGAGGAGTTGTGGATGATAGTTGCTGATCCATCTGCAGCCCTGGATGATGGGGACCAGAGAAAGAACGAGAAAGCATTGGCCAGTATAATCCTGAGTTTAGAGGATAGCCAGCTGATACACGTGAGGGGTCTCTAGTCTGCTAAGGAGTGCTGGGAAGCTTTGCGCAGTGTGTATATGAGAGAGACTGCAAGCAGCAAAGTAATGCTGACAAGAAAGCTGTATAAAGCACAGCTGAAGCTGGGAGAGAGCATGTCTATGCATTTGCAGTCCATGAGAAAGACATTCCTAGAGTTAGAAGAAATAGAAATGACTTTTACTGAGTCACATAAGGTGTATATAGTGCTCAGTTCATTGGACAATTCATGGGACGTCCTAGTGACCAGTTTAGAGTCCATGCAAGAGAAGGACTTAACCATGAGTTATTTGACTGGCCGGTTGCTGGAGGAGGAACAGAAATGGGTGGAAAAGCGGCAGAGAGGGGGTGACGACAATGCACAGCCCAAGCCTAGAACTGCTACGTCCCAGGGTGCCGTCCTGCTGTAATTGCTGTGCATTGGAGTTTGCTGAATTATCACTACGTGTATGTATTTTGTTTTTAGTATATTGTAGATAGTGTGTAATATAGACCACTGTTTACTGTATTTACTTCTGGGTTATCTCAGCACAATAAGACTGTGCATGCTCTGACATGACTGCATTGGAGAATCTTGTGTATCCGTAGAGGCTTTCTGTGTAAATTAGGATCCTTAATTGATGGAGGCTCTCCATGGTTAGAACAGGCTCTTAGTTGCAAGCTCTCTGTATATGTGGAGAGAATAAAAGTGTGATGTTAGCAGGTGGTTAGCATGCTGACTAAAATTCTTAGCATACAGGTAGTCCTTGACTTACAGCCACACTAAGGTCCAGAATTTCTGTTGCTAAGCAAGGTGGTTGTTAAGTGAGGTGTGCATGATTTTTGAAAACTTTTTGCCACAGTTGTTAAGTGAATCAATGCAGTTGTTAAGTGAATCACATGGTCATTAAGCAAATCTGGCTTCACCCATTGACTTTGCCTGTCAGAAGTCAGCTGGGAAGGTCACAAATGCCAATCAAATGTCCTCGGAACACTAACTGTCGTAAATACAGGTAGTCCTCAAGTTACGAATGTAATGGAGCTTGCCGATTACATTCGTAATCTTAGAATTCGTAGGAGTGA